TTTGGTGGAGAAGTTGCTGGAATTTATAGCTGTGCAGAATTGGTTAGGTAGGTCCTAAAACGATGGTGAATCACCCATTTCCAACTCTTTTGACTGACCAAATCGTGCTCAAACTGATAGTGGAACACTTCTTCTACACGTATGCATCGGTTGGAACCACCAAAACCCATTGGAAGACGCGTTTCATTAAGGGCAAAGTTGGAAGAAAACCAGTTTTCTGCAGGCATCCCAGGCGCCTGGCGCCTCCCATGTAACTTTTTCGTCTTTTTGCTTCTTTTGATTAATTTGCACTCCCAAATGGTCCTAAAATGTCATAAATACAATATAAGTCATCCACAAACCATAGTATATGAATTTTGCATGAATTGGAACTCAAATGATCGAGAAAAATCCGAAACAAAGCCGAAACATAGTAAAAACAGCATCTAAAACCTTCTTTTTACGCATGTAAACAAGCGTAATCAACTAAGGCGAGGGCCAGCTTTTCCATTTCGGGATATCTGGTCTCGGCCTCCGTCATGGCTTTACTAGTGTAATAAACGGGACTCTGGCGCGCTCCCTCCTGCCTGATTAGGGCCGAGCTGACAGCGCTGTCAGACACTGCCAGGTATAAGTGGAGCTTCTCCCCTGGTAGTGGTTTTGCGAGCAGTGGTGCCGAGCAGAGATAGTTTTTCAATTCTTCCAATGCCTGTTCGCACTCTGCCGTCCATTCAAATGGTCTTTTCTTTCTTAGAACCTTGAAGAAAGGAAGGCACTTGTCCGTTGATCTTGACACGAACCTATTCAAGGCTGCAATCGTGCCATTGAGACATTGAAGCTGCTTTAGATTCTTGGGTGCTTCCATCTCGAGCACGGCCTTTATCTTCTCTGGGTTAGCCTCGATCCCACGGTTGTTTACCATAAAACCAAGGAATTTTCCCGAAGAGACCCCAAAGGCACACTTGGTCGGATTGAGCTTCATTTGGAATTTGCGCAGTACTCCAAAGCCTTCGGTCAGATCGGAAAGATGCGACTTTGACTGCTTGCTCTTGACAAGCATGTCGTCCACATACACTTCCATGTTCCGATCGATCTTCTTGGCGAACATTTTGTTCACCATCCTTTGGTAGGTCGCACCCACATTCTTTAGGCCAAACGGCATCACCTTGTAACAGTACAGACCTTGGTCTGTTATGAACGCGGTATGATCTTGGTCTAGCAAGTGCATTTTAATTTGATTGATCCAGAGTAGGCATCTATGAAAGTGAGTAGCTTGTGCCCGGCGTTGCATCCACCAGCTGGTCGATCCTCGGAAGGGGGAAGCAATCTTTTGGGCATGCCTTATTCAGATTTGTAAAGTCCACGCACATCCTCCACTTCCCGTTGGATTTTTTAACTAATACAACGTTAGAAAGCCACTCAGGATACAGAATTTCTCGTATATATTCAGCTTTTAAAAGTTTGTTTACTTCCTCAACAATTACATCACTCCTCTCCTTATTTACAGGTCTTCTTTTTTGCTTTACAGGTCGGAAAGATGGGTCTATGTTGAGGCGATGCACCATGATCTTTGGGTCGATGCCAGACATGTCCTCGTGAGACCATGCAAAGACGTCCGAGTTGGACCTGAGGAAGTTGATCAGTTCTTCCCTGTCAGTGGCCCCTAGCTTGGTTCCTATGCTTACTTGTTTTTCAGAGCTAAGCAAGGGAACGAGCTCGAGCTCTTCTGTTGGTGGGAAGAACTGCCTTTGGCCTACCCTCGGAAGGTCGTCTTGACTGGTTTGCTCTTCCAGGACACATACTGACGATCCTTTGAGCGCAGATGCATAACACTCCCTTAAAGTTTTTTGCTTACCTCGGACCGTGCCGACTCCATTAGGGGTTGAGTACTTCATGACTTAATGCAGTGTGGAAGGGACGGCCCAGAATGAGTGGATGATGGGTCTCCCGAAGATGGCGTTGTAAGCCGACCTGCCATCGATCACTACGAACTCAGCCATCTGCGTTACTTGGGTAGCATCTTGTCCGATCGTGACCGGTAGGTCGATACACCCTTCTGGGGAGACCGATTCTCCAGAGAATCCAACAAAGGGTGTTGGACTCTTTTTCAGCTGTGGCCTGGTCCACCCCAATGCTAGATATGTTGGAAGGGACAAGATATTGGCAGATGCACATCCATCTACCAGTACTCTTCGGACAAAGACGTGATCAATGAGAGGAGCGATCACAAGTGCATCATTATGAGGCAAATGAACTCCCTCCAGGTCGGAATCACTGAAGGCAATGTAGCAAGTAGGCTTCTGCTCCCTAATGATGCATACCTCGCGTCTGGCCTCGCGAGCTAGTTTCTTCCTTTTGTTTCCAGATTGGCCCCCACTGGGGCCCTCGAATATTGTGTTGATGACCGCAGGCATCTCGAAGAGGTGGCGTCCTTGAACACTTCCTCTCTTCTGTCTTCTCTACCGAGTTGGTCCTCGGCCTTCTTACGAACTTTTTGAAATAGTCATCTTGAATGAGGTCTTCAATCTGGCGCTTCAGTTCCCAGCAACTCGTCGTGTTATGGCCGTGATCGCGATGAAAACGGCAGTATTTATCTTTGTTGCGCTTTTCTAGGTCTCCTCGGAGCTTTTCAGGTCGCTTGAGGAGCTTTTCCATCCCGCTTTCCTCGATGTTTGTGAGTATCTCGGAGATGGGGATGGTGGTTGAGGTGTACCGTTCATAAGGTCGGCTCCTGCTGGGGCCGCTCTCCGACCTACGGTACTCGGTTCTGCTGACGGAAGAGGACGATCCCTTGTCTTTAGACTTAGAATCAGCCTTCCTCTTCTCTTGGTTTAGTTTCTTCTGGTCGATCTGCCTCTCAGGTCGGCCAGTTTTGGTTCGGAGGAGCTCTTGCCCATCAATGACTTTCTTTGCCTTTTTCAGAACTTCAGCGAAGGTTGCTGGAGCCTCCTCTCCGAGTTTCACGGTGAGGGTCTCATCGGCCAGGCCGGTGAGGAAGTAGCACATGGCCGAATCATCGGAGCAGTGTGCGACCTTCAGCTGCTCCTCTTGGAACCTTGTGACATACTCTCTCAGCGTCTCACCTTCCTTCTGTCTAATGGTAGCAAGGTGAGTCGCTGTCTTTCTATCGTAATGCCGAGAAGAGAATTGACTAATGATTTCCTTTCTCAGCTGAGAGTAGGTCGAGATCGACCTAGCCGGCAGTCTCCGATACCACAGGCGCGCGCTGCTGGTAAGCGCGATCTGGAAGGCGCGGCATTTTATTGCATCTGTTGCCGCTTGAAAGTCCATGAGGCCCTCGAAGACCTCAACATAGTCCTTTGGGTCCTTAGACCCATCATAAGGTTTCATTGTGGGAGTTTTGAACTTCGGAGGGATTGGAGCCTCCAAGATGTCTGAGGTGAATGGCGATTCTCCCAAGTCACCATCGTCGAACGGGCACTCTTTCTTCTCGCACCTGGCCTTGAGTGCCTCGACCTGCTCATCGAACCTGTGCTTCATCAGGTCGAACTCTTCTCTAGTGATCACAGCTTCTGGTGTCAGAGGCTTATACTTTTATTGAGCCTTGAGGTCCGAGTTCGAGAACTCTCGGGAGTATGACGGAGAGTCTTCCGGCTCCCGAGATGCTCTCTTCTTCTTTTCAGTGAGGTGCTTTCTAAGATCATTGTCCCG